ACAAATGGAGGACCTGTGATTTTGAGATCTTCTTTCTAAGGACTTCCTTCAATGGATAGAGACAGAGCCTGTATTTCGCTCAGCTGTGTTTGTGACACTTAGGCTGTGTAAAGGAAACCAATATCCCTGACCCTCTCCACAGAGATGTTGCTTGATGTGGTGCATCCTCGAGGAGAAATGCCTTTGGCTTCTTTCTCCTCACGGCCCTCGGTGGAATAGATTAAAAGAAGGTCTGCAAAAGGAAGGGGTTACTCATTTCTGTGATGGTCTCCTGAAAGCCCAAACCACTGGAGCTTATATTGAGTTTGAGGTAGCTCCAAACTCATTCTGAGTGGAGATTCAGAGAAGCAGAGCTGGTTCCTGGAGATTTCCCACTCTGCTTTTGTCAACAGGTGCTGAATCTGAATGGCTTGACACAGTTTTACTTACAGGTATGTTCAGTGTTTAGAAAAGGAACAACACTTCAGCCAAGGTCCCCATAAATCAGACTGATTTTCTGAGGCAAGAGGAGGCTCTTAATATGAATATTTATCCTGTGTGTTTCATAGCATCACTGCGGAATTAGATGTCAACCATGTGCAATCCCCAATACAAAGAGGATGCTAGACCTCGAGTTCCCTTGCAGGATAAGGCTTTCCTGCATTTGGAGAGCACGCCTTGTGTATCTGTATGTGTATATTCACATGCATACTTCCAAAGAAGATTCTTCTCTTAATGCTTTTGAACAGAAGCACCTACATTTAATGAAGAAAAGACAACATTCTCCCATCACATTCCTTGAGTGACACAACAAGCACCATCACAATAGTGAGCAAACAGTTTTTGCAGGACAGAACAGCATCTTTTCAGTGCATTCACTTCCAAGAGGATACCATCTTTTTCTTTGAATCCTGAGCAGCAGCATTTCACATGACTCTGTTTCCCCATGCACTTGGAAGAGGTGGCTTTTCCTCTGTCTTTCCCACACTATTGACCTGTGTCAGTTTGGTGATTGAGGCACATTTGCATTGTTCAGGGCCTCCAGCAGCCTTGCAGCAGCCTCCTGCAACTCTTCTTCCTTCACTGCCTTCCCAACAGACAACAACAACTTCATTGTCTGCAGGGAGCTCTGCACCTGGCTGTCTAGCAGCCTGAGGAGGAGATCCTCGATGTCACTGTGTGGCAGCTGCTGGCCACCGGCTGTCGCCTCTGTGGCTTGTGGGCCAGTAGGTAAGAAGGTGGGGGTCACAGATACTTCCGTGTCAGGGCTGGAGCCAGCTGGATGAGTACTTGTGGGAGATGTGGGGTAAAGTGGCTGGGGACCGAAGTTTCTGGATGACATGGCATCACTGCTTGTGGTAATGTCATTGGTGCCTGCTGTGTTGCGCAGCTTGGTGCTGCTCTCTCCTGGGCATGCAATCCTCTGTGGAGGAGAAAACATACCTCTGTAGAGGCTTCAGGAGCAGGCACCTAGGCACTCCCCTGTTCTGTGAGTTTAGCTCTTACTGCACAATCCCATCTTTCCCACTCCCTACAAAGATGAGCCCAAGAAAGCCAAGAAACCTTCATATCCTTTCTTTGTCGAGTCTCCCCATAAGTCTCTCATGGGACTCACAGCTGTCTTTACTTTCTTTCTCTTCTAGCCTGCATGAATCCCCCTCTCTCCTGGAGAACCTAGATTGTCTCAACTTGGTTGGGAATGAGCTGGAGAGGAGGGCTGAGGTGATCCTCAAAGGTTCATTTTCTTGAAGATAACTCCTGCAAAGTCTCCTTTTTGGCAAGTGGCTTCAGGTGCCATCTGAAGCTAATCAGCTTGGTGTGAGTGCGCCTGGAATGTAGGCTACCCCTGGCTCTCTCCTCTCTTCCCTGTCTTTTAGCCTCTTGTTTTCCCACTTCCTTATTTTCAGGGCTCTCCCTTTGGCCTGTTACTTGCCCAGAGCACACATAGTCTTCAGGGAATAGCTAAATAACTCACCTTAAGAAAATACTTTTTCTTAATACAGCGATAAAAAGAAAAGGTGCAGAAGTTTGGGAAGAAAGGATATCCTGGCATTTCGGAGCATACAGGTCCTAGAAAGAGGCAAATGAAGAGACAGACCTAGTGATAAACTCCAGTGCTGGCATCCTACCAGTCCTTAGCAATAACCTCACTGTCGAGTGACATCCCTCCATGAAAACTCCTATGCCATTTGGGTGCCCCCCTGAACCTTGTGAGAAACTCCGTGTTTTCTTGGTCATTTCCATGACCCAGGGTGTGAGAGGAGGCTTGTAAGAGGGACGTGTGTGGATGCAATCAGGTGTGAGAAAGGATGTGCATGAGCACGTGCCTTCTCTTCACTGCAGGATTGCTACCCATCTCTCTCCCCCACCAGCTCCCCAGTCTGTCCTCTCCCAGTGATCAGGTCCCGTGCTGGCTGTGCAGGACCCCCATCCAGCTGCCTGCCCTTGGGAATCACACTTGGCTTTACCTTGAGGGATGACTCCGTGGTTTTCGTACTTGTCCAGTGTCTGGACCAATGAGTTCTGGCAGCCATACAGCTCACGAAGATGGCAGGCAGTGCTGGCTTGGAGCGTGATCCGGAGGAACTTGAAGAACTGGCGGTACTCCTGGTCGGAGAGTGGCGTTCCTGGCTGCTGTGCCTTTGACTCCCGAGGGCCAACTATGCAGCCCCAACCCAAGAGCACTGGTAAAAAATAAAGTGCAGGGAGTCAGAGGGAAAAGGAAACCCTAACCATGCCACATTCAAAAGAGCTGGAGGGCTGAATCCAGATCTCCGTTGCCTTTTCTGGGTGCAGGATCCAGCACGTGGGAAATGCAGTAACAGACTAGAGATGGTGGATCCAGACCTGGGAAAAACCTGCCCCAGCCGTGTTGAGGGGGGGGGTAGTATTTTGGGGACAGTACTTGGCTGAGGGGCCTTCACCATAGCTCTGGAGATTCAAATCTTGAACTGGGAGAAATGTCTTGGAAGTCATGGCTGGGAATATTGCTATGCTCTTGGGGCTGGAGCAAGGAGACTGTTTCATTTCAAGATTTTTAGCCTCTGCAAATGTTATTCCTCTGGCTAAGTAGGTCTTTAACCAAGGTCCTCTCTCAGATCTCCTTCTCCTGCCTCCCCTGTTGCTTCACTAGGCCAGCGCTTTCCTCCTGGCCTTGCAGGTCAAGTCTAGATCTCTGTGCTTGTCTGATTTAATGCACCCAGGTGTCCCTGTCTCCAGTCTCTACCTCTGCTCCAGTCTGTGCCTACACATCCAGCTCTGACTCCTCCCTGGCTCTTGGGTCACTCTGTGGCCCTTCCTGAAGAATAAGATACCAGCACAAGTGGGTGAAAACTGGCAAAATTGTAAGCCTCGGAATCTTTGCACCTGAGGTGTTGGAGGGTGCTCCTGTCCCTTCCTTTTGCCTCCAGACTGCCCAAGCTGAGGAGCGATGGGGAGGGGTGCAGAGCAGCCACTTCAGCTGCCCTTTCTCACAACCAGGCTTGGAGGAGAGATGTTTGCTACTCACCAGACAAAACCAGGTAAGCCCTCATAGCCGATATCGAACTGTGAGCAGGGCCTGTGACAGGCAGGGCCAACAGTCAGGGCCCAGTGTGCTGCCAGAGGTGTCACCTCCACTCTTTCACTGGTGATGTCATAGACACCTGCATTCCCAACACTCCATCCTCTGCTGCTCACGCCTCCTCCCAGCTGTGCCTCCCTGCTGCCTCCCCTCCCGCTGCCCCCTAACAGGCTGGGTGTGGACATATTGGTATTTGTGCACAAACTCCTGCTCACTACCAGCTCTTTAAAGTCCATCTGGAAGGAGGCCATTTTTCTGGAGCACAGGACAAAAAATTCTGCCTTTGGACTGCTCGTGTCAATAAATGTATGAGCAGATCAAAATCTTGTCTCTCACCCAGACTTTTGCATGCCTGGCTGATCCACTGAGAGCGACTGAGCAAAGTACTCCTTCAGTGAAGGCAATAAACAGAGTTCCAGACAGAGGCGAAAAGCAGCCTAGTTGTGAAGGTGGCATTTTTCCTCAACCTGAAGAACAGAACTGCATTACATTATGTTCTCCTTTAGTTCACGGGGAAGAAAGATTATGGAGAGAACACGGTTTGAAGAATCAATATTTTTCTTACACAAAACTCATCAGGAGGCATTTTTGGTCTGGGAGTGCAGCAGGAGGAACATCCAGACAGTTGTGAGAAGGCAGCAAGCTGGCAGGCAGCTCTCAGTGTGTGTGGTTGACCTGTCTGTGCTACATGAGGTGGCCCTGGTTATTGGACCCGAACATCAGTGTCACAGTGTGCATGACAGGACAGACAGTGACCCTGACTCATGTTTCTGGGTGTCATTTTCCTATGGTCTAGGTTGCTTCCAGCTCCTAAATGCTTACCCTCCTGAAATCTCATTCTACAGCACTGCTGCTATGATGGGTATTTATTATGTCTGTTTTCTTTCCTCTGATCAGGACCTGCAGTCCCCAGCTTGGCTTTAACCTTTCAGATGGAGTGAAGAGAAACAGCTTTTTGGCCAGAAGCAACTAAATACCCAGACAGTAGACTGCTCACAAGGTGAGAAATTACATGAAGCATGTCCAGGAAGGGAAGAGCTGAATGCTGAAAATTTGATGTGTACTGTGCTGCATGCTCCACAGTCACCTTGCCTCTTCTGCTCCCATACTACAGAGATGCTGCTTTCAGGAAGATTTGTAGGCAGGGTATGACAAAGACAAAATACACTCCTGGGGTATCTAGACCCTGTCCAAAATGAAATCAAATCCTGTGTATTTTTCAGCAAAGACTACAGACTGTTAAAAGACATAACTAACCAAAGTGTAGCTTTTTCTTCCTTTCACACAGACAGTATTTTTAATATTTTATTGGTCACTTTGCTGCTTTGAGGTGCTTTTGAGTACCTTTATTTGTACTACAAATGTTTTTCATCCCTGAGTGTTGTAAACAAAATGTTGGGAATTGGTATAACCCATGTGGTAGTGCCTTCCAAAATCTGCAAATCACTTGAAACAAAATCTGCTGCATGACCTCATATTCCATGTTGAGGAGAGCAGTTTGATGTTCTTCTAACCTTGCTACACGTGGGAACTTTGAGGGCAAGCAAGTGACAAGTCTTGCCCTTTAGGGCTGTAACTTTATGACAGAATACCCCCTTTGCAATCTGTGCCATAGTGGCCACCCATTCTTGAGTCACATTCCATTCCTATGCTCCTTGGTTTCTGTGCCCTCTGCCCTGAGAAGATACTGAGGGGCTGTCTCCTGTGCTGTCAGCTCATGGTGCAGCAGGTCTTGGTGGCCTTCCTGTTTGGGCTTCTCCCTCAGACAAGCAGGAGGTTATTCACTGCTAGTTCCTCTGTTCACTCCAGCAGGTGACAGGACCGTGGGTGACATGCAGAACGGCAGCCAGCATCAGGAAAGTCCTGTGAGAGCTGAACCGCATCTGTGTTCCCCCAGGAAGCTCACAGGAGATACCTTGCAGGACACCGATCAAAGACAAGACTGCAAGCAGGAGTTGGAGACAGAAAGTGAGATGGAGACGTCTTTTGCAAAGAGACAGGGAATGGTAACTCCCTATGGGATGGAAATCTGGGAATGCGAGGACAGCGGTAGAGGCCACATCAGCAAGGTTATCCTTGCTGGGGACAAGCCTGACCCACCCATGTGTGGGAATGGTGCCATTTGGATTCAGCAGGTGGAAGAGAAAACCTATGAGTGTCCTGAATGTGGGAAGAGCTTCAGCCGGAGTTCTTATCTGAGCCAACACCAGAGGATCCACCTGGCAGAGAAACCCTTCAGCTGCTCTGAATGTGGGAAGAGTTTCACCCGCAACTCGGACCTGATCAAACATCAGCGGATCCACACTGGTGAGAAGCCCTACCAGTGCAACGAGTGCAAGAAGACCTTCAGCCAGAGGTCCAACGTGATCAGGCACCAGCGGACCCACACGGGAGAGAGACACTACCTGTGCAACGAGTGCGGGAAGAGCTTCAGCCAGAACTCGCATCTCATTGTCCACCAGCGCAGCCACAAGGGTGAGAAACCCTTTAATTGCCTCCGGTGTGAGAAAAGCTTCAGTGACCGTTCCTCCCTGATCATACACCGGAGAGTCCACACCGGAGAGAAGCCCCACAAATGCCAAGAGTGCGGGAAGTGTTTCCGGGACAGCTCGGCCATCATTCGGCATCAGAGGATTCACACGGGGGAGAAACCATACGAGTGCACCGAGTGTGGGAAAACCTTCCGGCAGAGCTCCTCGCTGGTGACCCACACACGGACACACACGGGCGAGAAGCCCTACAAGTGCCCTGTGTGTGGGAAGGGCTTCAGCCAGAGCTCGGCGCTCACCACTCACCGCCGGATCCACGGTGGACAGGCCCTGCCCATGTACCACGGCGGCCTCCTGCCTAACCCCTACCAGTGCACCGAGTGCGGCCGGAGGTGCAGCGACCACTCCACCCTGGCCAAGCACCAGAGCACACATGCCGAGGAGCGGCCCTTCATCTGCGTGGAGTGCGGGGACAGCTTCCGGCGGAGCTCGGCTCTCAATGTCCACCTGCGGATCCACCGTGGGGAGAGACCCTACAAGTGCGAGGAGTGCGGAAAAACGTTCAGGCACAGCTCGGCCCGCTGTGCCCACCTGAGGATCCACGCGGGAACCAAGCCCTACGAGTGCGTCGAGTGTGGGAAAAGCTTCCGGAAAAGCTCAACACTTAGAGTGCATTTGAAAATCCATGTGGCCAAGAAACCCTATAAAAGTGTGGTGGGTAGAAGAGTGCTCGCTTTCCGCTCACTTCTGCCATAAGCCTGGAATGGCTGTTCAGAGCAGGAAACTAGTGTTGGGGCTACCTTAAAAAGGTGGGTAATGAGAACCACGGTGTGAAGAGACTGACTGGAGACACGGTATCTCTGGTGTTAGGGCTGGGTGCTAAACCCCAGTGGCCCAAGAACTATTAGGAAGTCTGGAAACAGGGAGTTAGTCCTAAGAGCTGAGTGCTGGTGGTTTAGGAAGAGTGCCAGGAATGTGAGGAATGAGCACCAGCTTCAGGGTAAATCAGGGACTGAGAATATGTGGTAGAATAATAGCTGGGAGAATTGGGCTTGTAAAATACAACAGAAGTGAAGATCGTAATAAAATGTTTCAGGTTGGTTCTGGCTCAAAACTTAAGCTTGTTAGACACTGTAGTAGTCTTAGGAACTGAACTCTCTTATTATTACCTTCCCTTATTTTTCATGAATATAGTCAATTTACCCAGTGTTTGACGGGGCATTTTCAAATCTTTTGAGTCTGAGACTTTGGAGCTGAACTTCAGTCTATTTTGTCTTTTCCAAATCTTACATGGGACAGTGAGTTCCTACCTCGTGATAGGTATGTACCCAGAAAACATGGATGTGGAAGTGTTTCCAGTTGAAAAGCAGCCCATTAATAGTCTGTGACAGCTTCTCCCAGATTTCTTCTTGCTGATTTGAAACTCCTTCCACTTGAGACATCAATGAAACATGGACAAAAATGTGGCCTTTTTTTATTTAACCAAAAACCAGGATTTTTCCCCTAGATGTCCTAGTCTGAAATGTTACGTGATGAGTTCTTACTGCCTTGCAGTAAGAGTCCGGAGACTGACTGCAGTTCTGTAGTCGTTTTTACACTACTCTTCTTTTGCTCACCGTTGTTTGAAAAGTATTAACATATAAAGTTCAGCATCGAACAGGTAGGAACGACTATATTTGCATTTATTACTATGCCGAGGACTGCGTATTACATAAACCTGTATTGCAACGTTTTGTTACTACGTGTTTCCATCCTGAATAAAACCTTTCGTTCTCTCCTGCGTACAGTCCAGTTTTCTGTCTCTGCCTGT